CCGTGAGGACGGGGAAGGCCGCCACATCGCCGATGGCGTAGACTGAGGCGTTGCTGGACTGCATCTTGCCGTTCACCTTTATGCCACCTTTTTCCATGGTAAGCTGCCCCTCGAATAGGCTTGTGTTGGGACGAATGCCGATGCCAACCACCACCATGTCGGCCGGGAGTTTCGAGCCGTCCCGGAGGTTGACCGCGGTGACCTGTCAGTAAAAAACAAAAAAGTGTATGTCAGAATGTTTTAGTGTACACAAGTACTCAAATGAGTTATAATTTGACCTTTCCATCCGAGCTAAAATCGAACGATGTCAGAACGGTTCCTTTCACAAACTTCACCCCTTTGGACTGATAAAATTCTTCGTAATAACTAGCAATCTTGGGGGTAAATAAGCGGGCCACTGCATACCAAAATAAGCAAAGAAAGAATAACACAACATAGATTAGTGAACACAGATCTCCAGTCAAAACAAATGTTTTCTGGATTGGTAGTAGTCAATAGTAGTAGATAGAGAGAGGGAAATATACACACGCATGCACACACTTTCTCCCTCCCACACATACGCAGAGAGAGAGAGAGAGAGAGAGAGAGAGAGAGAGAAAGAGTACTCAAGGTTAATTATTCAAGCTGGAAGTGGATGAAATTTAAGAAAATTACTTACTACATTGCGCCTCAGGGAAAACCATTGTCACATTTAATTTGTTAATCACCAACGATGCAGCACATTCCATCCCTATATAGCCGCCACCAATAACAACAGCATTTCCACCACTACAGGATTGCATCACATTCACAAGTCCGTCTGCATCAGCCAAGTCTCGCAGATAGCACACATTAGCTGCATCTAATCCATTAACTCCGAACTCTTCAAGCTTCAATGCCTACAAATGATGAGCCATCAAATCAGTCATAAAATTTGTTGGTTTCTTGTCTCAATTATTTGAAGCTATATGACAGCCATTCCTCCTAAATAGTGACTTAAAGTTCATCGTTATTACAAGTTGTGACAGTTCATGGCTTCAGAAACTTTAAGTTTACATAAAGCTTAATCAGTATGCTGCGTATGCCTCATTTTCTCTTCACAATAGCACCGGAGTTTCCAACCCAAAGGGTAAATTGGGAATTAGATAACACAAACATATACTAGAATGGCCAGACCACTTCCAACACATTAAAAAGAAAAAGAACAAAATACACCTCTTCTTGGCCCAGCATCAAATATGGAATTCTGCTAAAAACAAATATGAGCCCAGTTCCAGATGGAAAATTAACCCCACATGCATCATGTATTAGCACATAAAAAAATATACCTTTTACCAAGCACACCGTAATACAATACCGAAAAAGATTAGCATCAGTACCCGAGCACCTGTTGCAACTATGAGATATTTGTAGCTTATGGTTTCTCCGGTTGCAGTTAGCAGTGTCTTCCGCCTAACATCAGCAGATTTGACTCTAGTGCTAAGAATTAACTCAATACCTAGAGAATAGCATTAATAGGAATTAAATAGCTACAGACTGCTAATTGTAATACATTGCTCAAATAAAACAATTTCAAAACTCAAAGCAATATGGGATATTACTAGCTCGGAGCTAATGTCCAAATTTTAGGATTTATCTTTTCCTATAAATGGTATCGAACACTAAACCAATAATTAAATTTTACATGTTTTATTTATTTTGTAAATCAAAATGTCTTGTTTAACCAGCATAATATAGCAATGTCTAGCTACTAGCATCATTCACCTGTAACAACATCCTCTTTAACCAAATATGATTCACAAAAGTAATTGCTACGTTAGAGAAACTTACCATTTTCCTTGTACCATTTTGGAGGCAGTCTTTCCTCATTGGTACCTACACAACAGTGAAATGAAGGGAGGCGTGCAGGAGCTGCATGAACAAAGTCAGACAGTTAACTCCTATATAAAAATGGAGCCATCATCCTCAGTAAGATTAGAGAAGGATGACAATAAGTTCCAATGCATCTTAACAACAGAGAATTACAAACATGAAAGGTAAAAGTTAATCTAAATAGATATTATGCAAATGCTTCTAGTATTTCCATTTGAAGAATGATTAGCAATTTAGTGCATGGATGGCGTTTGAGCAAGCTTAAGGGAACTTATTATTTGTATTATGCAGCATTCAAATGCCGTAATGATATCAAATACTATGTATGATACTAACTCAATAGCAGGTAATTTACATGTTGAACCAGAAGTCATATTTCTGATCCAAGACAGTATAGTTTCTCTTAAACAGCGATTCCTTTTTGGGTCTTTTTAATGTATAGATAAATATTGCATTCATTTTAAGCTGAGATAATTACTCGTGAAGGAGACAGATTGTTATGCTGAGGGAATAAATACCTTCTGGAAGTAAGTAACCTTTGCTCAATGCAGGCCTTTCATAGGGTGCAACCTGCAAATAATTACCAATTTCAATGAATCATTGCCATTTCAAAGTATATGAAACAGAACAGCAAGTCACATCAAAACAATAAGAAAAAGACACAATTGCATGGAAAAAACTTCTATGCTAATTACCGTAAACATGATAAGACAACACAGAAAAATACATAGCTATTCCTAGCATACTACCATGTATGACGCCATGAACACGAGCAAGAATCAAAATGGCAAAAGATAATAGCTGCATAGGAGGAGGTGAATTAGGAACCGTACACCACAAATGAAATGTCCACATGAAGATTTATTTAGCAATAAATCCACCAGATGATTGCTTATTAGCATACAATCTATGTGTGGAATTTCACAAGAGCAAGAAACTCTAAATTTTAAGACTGCTGATGACAGAACCAACACATTTTGTGCAACGACTGTTACATATCCCTTGCCACTTAGAGTTCAGATAGAATTCTTCAAGTCAGGCACCAAACCGAAATCTGATGTTTTTATAACTAAAATGTCAAAAAGGTGTGTGAATATTACGCGATTGCATTCCAATCTACAACAGCTGTTGATGGAAAGATCATTGAGCTGCCTGATACATCCCAAAGCAAATTGATTGCAAGTGATCATCAAACATAGTGAATAAAAGTGATGTTCGTAAATATCGAAGCGAACAAACACCTTCGTCAAAAGCACAGCAAAAACCTAATCAAAGTTTCTACACAAATCGAGATAGATTGAAGAAGCGCAAATACATGAACATCTTGAGCTGGCATACAAAAATATATCCCTACAATTCCATGTTTTCCACGCTCAGTTAGCTCCCTAGAGAGCTAAACAGATGCTTTCACAGTTCATTCCGAATTATATTCTCCATGAAAATGAAAATTACTCTCGTGATTCACAGAAAACTTCACCAGAAAATAACAAAAATAAATAAATAATCAGTTAAATTGCGGAGTTTGTGACAAACAATTGCACTGAAAAAAACAAATACTACAGACCGCGAGGCGCACTATATTGATATAGCTACAAAAACAGGCACATAAACAGAGGTAGAGAGAGAGAGGGACATTACGGGCTCTTCAGAGATTATGCAGAGTTCGCCATTAGAGACGCCCCTCTTAACAAATTCATGAGCGGCATAGCCAGCTGCAACTCCTCCTCCAATAATAACGTACAGAAAAGCTCGCCCCATTTGATGCTCGCCAAACCTCTCCGCCTGCCGCTCGGCGTTCTGTGCGTGTGCTTATATATAGAAATCTACGGAACGGAAGGGAAAGCAGACTAGAATTTCATCTTGTTTCTCGAGAGTTGAGCCACCTCCCCGAGACTTTGAGCCCATTACCAAAATAACTACCTATTATTTCATTTTGACTTATTCTTTATTTTTTATTTTTTATTTTTATAATGAAATTCGTAGATAAAATCTGTCATGTATCGATTTTTCGTAATTTAATTAAATTTTCACGGTTTGGAATTGTCTCATATAGATGTGGACATATATAACTATATTATAAAAAATTTATAAAATATTTAATTAATTTAAATTATAATAGGTTTTTAAAGTTAGCGGTTATAAGATTTTCATATGCAATACATCGAAATAATTACTTTTTGATGATTTTTAGTTTGACATTCATAATGCATATATAAATAAATACAAATATTTTCGGATGTTTACTAGATTCGACGATTGGGAAAATCTAGTTTTGGCTTGTGTTGCTAATATAATTTTTTATCATTTCGAACACAATTTCTTCTACATATGACAAGTAAGCGTGGAATATAAGGAACTATAACTACGAGGAAAAAGAATTATTAGGGCGATGATCAAGCTCCACTATTATTGGGGCAGGGATCCATACTCGATTCAGAGAGCAGTTGTGTATATCATGCAAATGTGCGTGTATGAAAAAACTGTTATTGTTCCTTCCGTTATTGACCTATCTATGTTTCTATGATGGGCTAAGAACACGCTCGTTCTTCAGTAGTAAAGAGACTTTTGAATTGCGGAGTACTATTACGATTTCAATATATACGAGTGTTATTCCGTGAAGTAACTCGATTTCACTTCATTCGCTTGCTTTAACTACTCATGCTATTATTTTTATAATAATTATTATCACTCTATATATTAAAAGTATAAATTAAATCAATTTATCTATCAAATCAATCATACGTTATGAACTAAAAAATATTAGAATTACGATTATCATTTTAAATGTAAATTTATAAATATTATATATCTTATATTAATGTATATTTATATATTAATATACATATTAATGTATAATTATAAATATTATATTTAGAATATTTATATAAATATATACATTAATATAAATATATTTATTATACGTAAATATACTTATGTATATTATAAAATATATATTAGTATATATATATAATATTTTTACATTTTAAATACACATTTATGTATTTATAAATAATTACCTAAAATAAATATCAAATCGTATATATTCAATTATCTTATTTGAATCAAATGCAGTTCACATAAATTTGATAACAAAACGAATTTGAATATGAATATTTGAATATTTTGATGAATAATTTGATATCAAATAGTTGAGTATTTGCTCTGATCCAATTAGTCCACAACCCTTCTCGCACGCATCTAAAATTAAGGGGGTGATTGTTTACAAAATAATTTACTCACTTTTATTTCAACTCAAAATCTAACTCAACTTTAACACAATCCCACTATCTTTAATATTATTCATATAATTAAATAATACAAACCAATCATTCTTACACATCACATTAACTTTAATTCACTATTCATCCACTCACATAATTTTAACTACCTATCATTTCCAATCATTTATCTCTTACTTTTACATCAAATCAATTTTAATTATTTTATTTTTAAATATTATTTTAATACATTCTTAAAATTCCACTACAACTAATCATACCACATTTTTCAAAATTAACTATAGTTAACCAAAATAATTCAATTTGAACAAATTATTTCATAAACAATCAAGCCCTAAAGGACCGACTCTATCTTTTCCAAGCTAAACATGTCGGCCTACAAACTTTTAGTACTTCGATGGAGTTAGCGTACTTGTCAATTTATTCTTGAAATAAAAGGGGTGCATATATTTAAGATTTTTAATTTTTTTTTTAAATTTTAGAAATCCTGGTGTACTTAAGAATTTTAAAATTTTTGAAGTCTCGAGTAGTTCATTTGAAACTTTAAAAAGTCTTACACAATCTTGGATCTCAAAATAAAAAATTATATATGAAATATCACTCAAATTTCACCTCTCAAAAAGTCTCAGAATAACACTTAAAATCCCATAGACCCTATGTACCAAAAAAAAATCCCATAGACCCTAAGGTCGCTATTAAATATGAGTCGTAACCGATTTCAATCGATTTTGACCACTTGAGTTATTTTTTATCAATTAAAATCTAACCCCAACGACAACTCTTATATTTTATCAATACAATTAAATAATATCAATCAATCATATTCACACATAATATCAATTTTAATCAGTTTTCATCTACTCAAATAATTTTAATTGCATAACTTCTAATAACACTCTCATACTCTTAAATATTATATTAACTTTAATTATCACATTTTAAATATTAGTTAATTTCATAAATTCAATCAATTTTATTAAAAAAAAAAATCACTTTAACCAACAAATACCAATTGGATTCATATCCAATCAGGCCCTAACACTCGTAGAACCAATTATCTTCATATACAATCAATATATCACTTAATCTTTACGATGGTATCACGATGGCATTGGTTGTGACACAGTAAAT